CCAACTGCTGCGCGCAGTCGATCACTGCCCCATTAGGGCTGAGCCAATCCATGCCTATAATCACCTTGTTCCCACGCAATGGAATGGGAACCAAGTCTACCAAGTAGCGCTCCTCAAATAACCTCAGCACACAATCTCGGAAGACCTCAGATGCTCGCACTGACCGGTCGTCCGCAATCTCGACCTCTAGAGGGCAGTCCAACATGCCCGAAGACGCAGGAAACTTCTTGCTAAGCGCAAGAGAGACGAATGATCGAGTAGCGCCCGAATCAAACAACACCTGAACCGGGATGCCGTTCACATGGAACGATCCTAAACCGAGCACATATCAATAACATAGACACCATAAAAATAAATCAGAGGGAAAGAATCATACTCGTCACCACATCGGGTGCAGCGCGTGCCTCCTCGGTAGTCAGCTGAAATGCCCGACTCCTCACCACTGGAGCCTCTGCCTTGCCCTGCCGGCCATCGGTAATCCGCAGGGTCGCTGGAGCTGGCGCCCTCACTGGCGCTGCTGCTGTCAACTGGGGGCAATTGGCCTTCTTGTGGCCCCTCTGGTTGCAGTGGAAACACAGCAACTCTGACGTCTGTAACACAGGTGCAGGGGCGGTACAATCCCTGCTGAAGTGCCCCATCTTGCCGCACTTGTAGCAGCCCGGCGATCCCACTCTACATGCCCCCTCATGCGCCTTGCCGCATTTCCTACAGCGGCCTCGCCTCTGTTGGCCTTTCGGCCCAGCATCTGATCCCTTGGGCTTCTTTCCCGAAGCCCCCGTAACCTGCCCCTCTTCTGCCTTCCTCTTCCGGATATGCTCCAGATCAATCTCCCTCTCCCTTGCCCTGGCAATCATGGAATCCAGAGTAGGACAAGCTGAAAAGCTAACATGCTCACGAATGTCAGCTCGTAGCATATCATGATAGCGGGTCCTCCTCATGTCCTCGTCGCCCGCATACTGGGGCACCAGTAACGCCCTCTCCCGGAACTTGGCGGTGATCTCCGCCACAGTCTCCGTGGTCTGCCTCATATCCAAGAACTCCCTGGCTAACTGCTGGAGCTCCACTGCAGGTGCGAACTCCGCTCTGAACCGTGTCACAAAGTCTGACCATGTCATAGCCTCAACAGCCGAGGCTCCCAGAGAGTCACCAACCGACTCCCACCAATCCCTAGCCCGGTCCCTCAGACATCCTGCTGCAAATCGTACCTTCGACCCCTCAGGGCAGAAGCTGGTCAGCTGTGCAGACTCAATGTCTGCAATCCATCGTCTGGCAGCAATGGGGTCCTTCGCCCCATGGAAATCTGGCGCACCACTGCCCCTGAAGTCCTTAAAGGACAGTGTGCGAGATCCTGACTGGCCAGATGCCATGTCACTCCTGAACGCCCTGAGGCGGTCCTCCATCAGCTCAACTATCCCTTCCTTGATCGACCCGAAGATGATGGGGGTCGACTCAAGGATGCCTCTGGTGATCTCTGACGCGATGAACTCGCGTAGCCTCTCATCCACTGGTTCGGAACCTGAACCCGAACCCGATCCCTCTCCCGAACTGCCAACTGCTGGCCTCGAACGTAGTACCACCATTCTGCAATACATAACGACAACTGTTAGTGGTACTGACACACCTTAGAGGGATTACATCTACTGCAAGGTTCCTGGTCTCGCCTCAACCTTTCTCAATTCAAGTACGGATCCTCTGCTTTCAGTAGTACGGGCCCATACTACCTTCCACATCTATCCGTACTTTCCTCAAGAACAGCCTCGACTCCACCAAGTCCCTTCTACTACTACTGCTGATCTCATGCTACTCTCGTCCTAGGCTTGCCCTAGGTAATCGCCATCCCACTCTCTGCCATCAGCTGCATAAGAAGTCCCTGCTTCCTTCCCCTAACTAGCTCGCGAATACTATTACATATTACTCAGACTAGATAATTCTTCGAATGAGAGGTCCCACCCTACAACGGTTGGACTCAAACAAGAGCTGCGAAATAGGGCTAGACCCAACCTTCTGAAATTATTTAGTCCTTGCAATATGTAACTTAACATATTCGTTTACTAGTTAGTGAAAGACAACTAGAACTCCTAAAAGCACATAGCAAGCAGCATTCGGGCATTGAGTACACATAATCAAGTATATACTACTCTGGCTATCATACTGACTGATCTGTACTAGCATACAATGCTAAGCTCATACTATCGGGCATAACCTAAACAGGCTACCCTACTACTGTCTACTTAGTACTAGCATGCAATTCTCATGAAGCTGGAACACTTAAAGCAGGCACATAAGGCATTATTCCTAGATCCTTAGTCCTATTCTAGCATGCTGTTCTACTGAAACTGAAACTGATAATTATAACATAAACTTGTATGGGTACTTTGGGGAAAACTTACTTGAGCTCGGCCGGTCGCGCACATCACACACTTTGTTCTTTCTCGAAACTCTTTTACTTAGCCTTTAGAAAATCATTTATTTATAAAACTCTTTTAATCCCTTGATTTGAGTCCAGACACCCCGAAGGTGTGTCCGAATCCCTCAAACCAGGGCTCTGATACCAACTTGTAACGACCCAATTTTTACGCCCAAAAATTTCGTTTAAAATAAATGGTTTGCAAAACATTTGTAGTAAAACATCATCCAATCATCATCCGATCATATCATCTCATAAAATATATCTTATGTCTGAAACCAAATCATAAAATAATAATAATAATGTCAGAGTACAATCCCAGAACATCTCATAGTGCGGAAAACCAATGTGTGTGTGTATGATGTGCCGCTACCGCGCCAGCTCCTTCCCCTTCGCTGAAGAGGTACCTGAAACAAAACTGTAAACTGTAAGCACGAAGCTTAGTGAGTTCCCCCATCGTACCACATACCATACAATCACATAACATACAGATACTGTCAGGCATATCTGGGTGCCCGACCTACCCCTTCGGTCCTTTCGACCGGATACTGCCCAGCATATCTGGGTGCTGGCCTCCCCTTCGGTCCTTTCGACCGGATACTGCCTAGCATATCTGGGTGCTGGCCTCCCCTTCGGTCCTTTCGACCGGATACTGGGGACTATTTCACCCCTCTACTACTACCACATAACATATATCACATAACCATAATCTGTCTAACATGACTGGGTATGACTACCCCTTTCGGCCCTATCGACCGGAAATCCTGGGGACTATCTCCCCTACTGCTACTAGCATATAACATCATATCATACTAGCACATAACATATCAGGTAGTAGCAAACCTAGATGATATCACAAAGACAATCATCCAACATACAACTCCTACTGGTGGGTCGGCATTGTGGCCGTAGACCCACCGCTACTGGAAGGTAACTCACCTCGAAAAGTAGCTGCTGGAAGTCTGCTCGCTAGACGTCTGACTGCTGCACCGGTAATCCTCCGGCTATAAATCCATAAACATCGATTAGTCACTCATAAATACCCTTAGGTCAAATGACTGACCTGCCCCTGGTCCAAGGTCAACTCCTCGGTCAAAGTCAACTTCCAGTTGACTGGACTCGCCGAGTCCTGGCACAGACTCGACGAGTCCCTCTCCCACTATTCCCGTACTAACTCATCAAGTCCCTTTTCCCTACTCACTGAGTCACCCTAACTCACTACTTGGGACGATTAGACCGGCTCGCGATCCGACTCACCGAGTCCGAGAACAACTCGCCGAGTCCCTACGAGCAGATCTCCTACTCGCTTCCAAATCCTCACCAGAGCATCCATCTTGAGGATTTGGGTTTCTGGGACTTTTGCTACTCGATAAATTGATAATTCCGCGAGCAGTTACGAAGGGTTGGACCTTCTACACTTAAACCCCTCTTAACTCAGTAACTGTTCATATGACTCGCCGAGTTGGAAGAACACTCGTCGAGTCCCAGGCAATCTTCATAGGACTCACCGAGTGGTTCATCCAACTCGTCGAGTCTAAGACCATCTTCATAGAACTCGCCGAGTGCGCTTTGGCACTCGCCGAGTCCCTTCAACCCTCCTTCCAAACAGACCAATTCTTAGGCATGCAACGGTTCCAAACCATAGATCTAAGCTCCTAGGGCATGCTTATCACGTAAAGTTGCAAACTTTACGTGCATGCATGGCCCTATGAGCTCCAAAAGGCAAATCCAAGCTCTTTATGAGGTCAAACACTCAATAGGGACCTCAATCACTTCATCCACAAAGACTTTACACTTCTAAGATGTCCCTAAGGTCCAGATCTGAAGTCCTTTCAGAACATGGAGCATAAACACATGGAGTTTGAGGTTTTAGGGCCTGAAAACCACAAATTTGGGACAAAAAGGGAATCTAATGAACTAGTGATCAAGGTAGGAGCTTTTCTACCTGAATGGAAGCTTCCCACAGTGTAGATTTCGGATCTACTTTCCCTCCTTTCACTCTTCAACCTTCTACTTCTTCTTCTAAGCTCCAAACTTCCTTCACAATGCCAAAATCACTCACAAGAACAATATGGGGGCTAGGGTTTCGCTCTACAGCTCTTCTGGAAGTGTTAGGGACAAGGGAGGCCGAGTTAGAGTGTTTAAATAGGGTGCAAGCCCCTGGATTAGGGTTTTTGTCCAGACAGCGGCTACTCGCCGAGTCCGGGACCTGACTCGGCGAGTCCACAACTTAAACCCCGTGCCCCTTCCCGCTTCTACTCGGCGAGTCGAGCCTTTGACTCGCCGAGTCCAAGGCCAGAATGCAAAATACTCAAAGATTTAAATAAAAGAATACGTACCAAGAACCAGGTGCTACAACCAGGACAGGGAATAACTAAAATATAGACAGGAGAAGTAATATAATATAATAAAAAAAAACATAGAAAAAAGAGAGAAGCAAAAATAAAATAGGAAAGCAATATCAAAAACATGTGATTTTGTTCTCAACTCTTCTATGAGGCGTCAATAGATAGTTCAGCTTGTGAGTATCCCCAAATAAGGCGTCAGCATCAAGAATTTGAAAAGGAGTAGCACTCGAATTAACTAGAACACCCTAATCCAGAAGAAGAGGCTCCATCGTCACAGATGTAGAATCGGTGTTTAACACATGCAAGACCCCAAATCCGGCTCCAAAAAGCTTTTGTTGGAAGGCAGAAGCTGCAAACAAAGTGGCAGGGGTTTGAATTTTTGAAGAAAGTTCGATAGATTCAATAATAGGGGTTTCCCCCGAAGTAGAATGGAGAGGAATCCCAAAGTTGGAAGTTTCAGCGGGAGAAGCCAATTTTTCTTCGGCATGGTTCAGTTCAGGATCAGTGGTAACCGGAAACTCATGGAGAGTAGTTGTTGCAGGTGGTTCCAAAGAAGGATCTGGATTCACAGGTTCAAACAAAGCTTGATGGCTTGACGATGATAGACCACGACTCTTTGTTGAACCACTTCAAGAGGTCCTTTGTCATTTGGGAGAAGTTAAGTCAGTCAGATTTTCAGGACGGCTCATTACTCCTTCCAAAGAAAGAGTTTTATCTGCTCCAATTTTCCTTTTGGAGGAGGGACCCTTTAACACAACCCTGACCTAAGAAGATGGGGTCTTTTCGATATCGTGCTCCACCTTCACAATTTTCTTGGTAAGAGAAGGCACCACAGGCACAGTGGTATCAATACCAGAGGGATTAGCAGTACAGTCCATAATAGACTCCGATTGAGTGGGGGAATTAGGGATGGTTGCTTCCTCTGTGACCAACGAAGAACCAGCCAAGCGCTTCCTGTGTAATCGTCTAACAGAGTAACCTCACTGCCCACTAGGGTTTCCATAGGTTTCTTTCCCAATTTGTTCCAATAAGCACTTATCCCCACCATACCTAGCATTATTTCTTCAGGATTGACCCATTTGACGAAAATACCTGATAAACAACTCACAATACCATGTTCTTCTAGAGACAATTCAGGAGAAGGACCAGCGGCCCTGTCGGTAGTAGCACCATAAAACATCCGCCTAGGGAAAGAAGAAGCACGCACAAAGAAAAACTCTTCCTTTCAATAGTTAATAGAAGTAGGAAGGTCGTCGCAGATTTCTACCAAGCCATGGCGAAGGGAGAAAGATACACGATCTCCATTGGACATAGTCACATAGAAATGACATAATAGAGTGATATAAGGCGGAACGTTTAGGGCAGAACACAACATCACAAAAAAATCGATTTTTCGAAAACAGTTGGGGCTAGCCTGAGCAATGTGCTGATGATAATAATCCAAGACTGTCATCAAGAAATCAAATGCCTAAAATCATAAACCTGACTTAAATAAAACACGGTAAACACTGACAAAACCTTCTGGAGTGTCAGTAATGGCATCCCCAGGCTCAGGAAATCGCGGGTTGAATTTAGGATCAATGTGATATTGTTTCATAATATCAGAAAGGATCTTAGGGGTAAGTTTGGATCTCATGATATGAATGCTCGAAATTTCTTTACTAGCCATAGGGAGTAAAGTGAAGAAACGAAAGTGAATAAAGGAGAAAGAAGAGTAATTTTTAAATTACAGATAGTGACGAAAAGTAATCAACCAATGGAAGTATTTATAGGGGTCCAAGCAGAGGTATATTTATGAGACAGACAAAGTGGCAGTTACACACTATAGCCCCTTCAAATAGAAAGAAATGTGGAGACGGTTCTAGGCAATGATGAACACTAGGGGCCGCCGAACCGTCATGTCAAAGTTTAATTCAGGTGTCTATCCCTATCCAGTTACAACGGTCACTTTACAAAGCTTTTTAAGGTTGAATTGTTACTTCTAGAAAAAAAGTAAAAATCCAAACTGGGGGGACTTAATAGGGTATAACCTAGCTTGAAGCTACGTGTATACCCTCACTATACCGAGCTAACTATATACCGAACCAAGTTTATACCGAACTAAGTATATATCGGACTAGGTATATACCAGACCAGGTATATACCTAATCACCCGTATACCGAACTAGGTAATCAAACCTAACCACAGGAAATAATGAACAAGGCACAAAATAATGTCACAATGGTATCACAATACATGGGAAATCAAAGAAAACAACATGTACAAAGATATGTGACTGATGAATCCTTCGACTAACAAGAAACAATTGTTAAACGGCTAGTAAGTACATACGAGTGTAGCTTTACGTCCATTAATGCAATAAAATGGAAAACATTCTTGCTACATGAAGAGGTCACAACCTCTTAACATCGACTATAAATAAGTGACGAAAATCACTCTACAAGGTACGTAAACAAATACATTGTTCTATTACGAACCACTCGATTTTCGACATACTTTCTTAAGGACTTTTCTAACTTTGTCATCGGAGCGTTGGTCTGGGATCCCCTCCCGGCCAATCATCTTACAAGTTGATCGATGTATCCATGTTAATTGATCTGTGAAGGAATCGATAACTCTCACAGACGATGAAAGGTGAACTTGGTGGCACATCAGTGTATAAAAACAACAAAGACTTATTTTGCAACAAAAAAACATTAAGGAATAAATGTGTACAAACTGAGAACTAAACATGGAGTAGCCACTCATAACCTAGAGTTAAAGGGCTTATTTTACACAAAAAACTATAAGGACTAAACCTGTACATAGCAAAACTATGTTACCTTATTAAGTCCTTTCCCATTTTTTAGAGTAGACCTAACTTTTTTTCAATTTGAACCAAAATTATAGACATAATATTGTCACAAAACCATTATATTTTCATATTTTGATGGTTTTATCTCATTATAGATTTTTTTAGAAAAACTCAAATCTTGTTCATTTATGACATTTATCAAGTTACCAACCTCTTACCCGGTTATCATGCCATGTAATTGGCCACATGACTACTGCCTAGACTTGTTGGCTGACGTGACATGTAGGCTTGAGTATAAGATATATATTGTAATTCCCGTAAGTTAAGGATAGACGTTTGAGATATTTTAGTTATAATTTTTCATTTTATTAAGTAATTAAAATCCCCGAATAAGATAATTATTCGTTATACGGACTACATAAATAGCTAGATAATATATGTACGTTTTGTGAACAAATATTTGAAGTATATAATATTTGTAGAAAATCTTATTATAAAATTTATTGTTGAAGCGATAAAATAAAGTGTAAATATAAAAAGATAATTTAGGATAAATAATCTTAACAAAAGTTGTAGTATCCGTAATAACGATCTTGTGAGTATAAAGAACACTTAAATTTGACTTTGTATGAGGAAATTATAATTTTTTGAAGTTTCACGTTCAGCTCTAAACAACAATGTGTGTCATAAAAAGTGAAATTGAGATTTATTACTTTTTAGCCAAAACAATGTAAACGAGAGTTGAAGTGCTCGTAAAAATGAATTCGTCGATATAAAGAACGTCAAAAACGGAGTATTTATGAAGAATTTATAAATTTCGAAAGATCTTTTACAATGTATTTCTTATAGACTGTAAAATGAAAACGGAGTTTTTATACAGAAGTTATGATTTAACAGTGATTCCAATCATGATATTGATTGAACTACTTAATGGAGTAATGTCTAGGCTAAATCTAGTGAGGTGTTTAAAGTGAATTTTCCAAATAGTACTCTGTATACCAAATGGATCGAACCTCAAATATGATCTTACGTGGTTATTCCTTATCAACTAGAACTTAAAGTATTCATTGGGATTATTGAGGAATCAGGGAAATAGTTATAAAGACCCGTATAAATACGAACGAATAATAAGATGTAGTAATATTCGTATTTAGGTTGTTTTAAAGGAAAAGATGAAGTATTAGCCGATGAGCTAACTTCCATGTGGATCTTCCACCTCAATAAGGTGAGTGCATAGTTACTTTCATGAACATGATTTTAATACAAGTATTTATTAAAATTATTAATTATATATTGAAATTATATATGTGAATTAAATGCTTATTATTTGGAATATGTGTTAGATGTATATTTGATGACATACACTGGGCAAACCAGATATGGTTATACATGTGTTAAGTATTGGTGATTTTAGGTTACAAAACAATTGTACTTACGGAATTTCACTTAACACTAAAGGGTACATGCAACCTAAAATGGGTATATGTGTTTTGCACATCTAATAGCAACCATACTTATAAAAATACAAACTAAATCCCTATGAATCAAAATTCATGGTTAGGGATACATACCTTTTTGATGATTCCAATCAAGCTAATCAAAACCTTGTTGTCTCCTTAGAAAACCTAGCTCCAAAAGTATGCGCGCCTCTAATGTTTCACACCCACAACACAAGAAACCCTAAGATTGAGAGGAAAGATGGGAGAGAGGGAAGATTTTTGGATTTTTCTCTTGGAAAATGTCATACGAAAATGAAAGGGGTTAAGGCCCTATTTATAGCTGCTTGGAAACCCTGGAGACCCTAAATTTAAATATATAATAATAATATTTCAAATTTAGTAATTATCTAGTTTCCTAATTATCAAATGGAGGCTTCCAGAAACCCTAATAAAGTCATCTAAAATTGTCCACATGATGGATGGTTCTAGAATCCTTCTCATGTCCAACTTTTGAACAATTACAGCTTAGTCCTTGTACATTTAATTAAATTCTAATTAACCAATAATTAATTCCAAATTAATTCTGCTTAATTCTTAATTAAATATTGATATTTCTAATTAATATATTAATCATATTATAATATATTAACAAACCATATATCTCTCTCTCCTATAATCAATCCAAGTTTCTTGGTTATGAGGGAAACACAAAAATGACTTTACTTTTATTCTTCAATATTATACCAATTTAGTTAGGACCTTAGACACCTTAATCCAACATTCTCCCACTTAGATAAATCACTAACTATAATTGCAAGTACAAGTCTGAATAACCAACAAGTAGTGTTTTCCAAAGACACTGTCAAACTCTGATTAGACGTTGATCCTAAGATAAGTGATCAGTTATCTCCTCATTCTTCCTAATATCATATGGACACGAGAGATGGATTAGAATCAATCTCATTATCCAAAATTTTGTTTCCTGGTTTCCCGATTTGTGATGACGTCATCAGACTACTAATTGAACACATCAATTTAGTCTCAGTTGGGCCAAACACTACAATGTCAACATCAAATCATTGAGGGGCCTAAAGATATCATTTTTCATGTTAAGGAAAAAGGAATGAATAAACTTTTACTATATAATCATACATTTTACTCACCAAATCATGCATGGAATCACACTTTATAAAACCCAGTTATGATATGCGTTGGAGTAAACCAATGTACAAACAATTTGTAAAACATGAATTATATATCTCTATTTTAAGAATAGAGGAGATTGTCGTCTTAGAATTACTCACGATTAAATCAATGAAGTAATATCTAAGCACTGGTTTAACCAATACTTAAAATCCCCATTTTCTAAGTGCTCATGAATTTTGCAGCAAACCCTATGCAATGTCCAATGCCTATGGAAAATCTACAAATGATTCATGATAGTATTAAATCAATACCTACTTCCAAAGTATGACTGACTGTGACATTTTGAATAAATTAATATTCTGGAAGTAAAACATGCAAAGTGAAACACAAGAATAAAATAATTGATAAACGGTATCACACACTTTGAACATAAATAAATCTCTATTTAATTAATCACCATTCAATTACAATTTATTATTTCTGCATTGTTTCAAAACATAAACTAACTACCAAAATCTAGAATCTAATATCAACCTCTTAGCCTAATGCTCCTAGCATGCTCGAAGTGCTTGCCCTTTCTTAAACCCTTCGTGAGAGGATCTGCAGGATTCTCTTCTGATGACACACGATTCACCAAGAGTGCACCTTCTTCAACTTTATGTCTGATGTAGTGGTATTTTATCTCTATGTGCCTAGATCTTCCATGATACTTAGGTTCTTTGCTCAAAGCTACCACACCCTCATTGTCACCAAAAATCTACATTGGTTCTTCGATTGATGGAACAACTCCAAGATCACCA